CTGTGAACTAAGGGATTACGGTTCAATTTCCAGTTAGGGCACATGCCTTGGTTGCAGGCCAGTTCCCAGTGAGGGACACACAAGAGGCAACATACACTGATATTTCTCTCCCTCTCTCCTTCCCTTCCCCCCTAAAGATGGATGAATAAAATCTTTTTAAAAATGTATATAAATAGCAATTATTTGATGTAATCAAAATTTTAAAAAGCTTGCTGCATATTGCTTACAAGAAAATACTAGAAGCAAACAACCAAGAAAGCTGAGCACATAGAATGGGATTTTGCAGCTACCCCTGTGTGAAGAGAATGAAGCCCCTCTCCTCCACCTACCCACTGTGTCCACCACACCCTCCAAAGAAATATCCCAAGGGAAGGCTGATTTTGCTGAAGGGGCAAGGAAACTCCAAGAGAACAGCAAGTTAACGATCTATGTTAATACCTATAAGGTGGGATCTAAGAAAAAAGACAAAAAGACAGAGTTTCCAAAAGTTAATATTCAGATACAAAAGGGTAATGAAAGGAAAGCTCACAGACTAAATAGTAAAGAGAAATTAGGATTTACAACAAAGGATGAAATCAAAATTAAGAAAATTCTGGAGGCTTAAAGGGATTAGAGCCAAGAAGCGCTTCTCCCAGAGAACATGGGGACTTGGGCTTTGTCAAAGCTGGGGGGTGAGAGTCCATTGCTCTCTGTTGCAGCCCCTGCCCCCCCCAGTCCTTCCATGAAGGCCTCCCAGGTGATTGAGTCTGGCTTAGGTTGCCCCCTGCTGTGAGGGGTCTTACCCGTCATTGACTTCTGACCAAGCTCTGGGGGCAGGGAGAGGAACTGAGGCAGTGTTTGCACCAGAGACAGACTTTGTCTCCTGCAGCTGGCATTCCAGAGGTTGTCCCTCTTGCCCTCAGCCACAAGGGTAGAGATACAATTCCTAAAACTAGACAGAGCTGTCTACAACAGGTTTCTGTGGACAAGGTTGACTGAGGGCCTGTGTTCCCACCAACGCCAATGCCCTGCCATGGAGGAGGGGAGACAGGTGCTTCCAGCTCAAGGATAAATTCCTAGAAGTGGAATTGCTGGGTCAAAGGCATTTTTAGGACTTTTGAAACTTATTGCTAAATGAACTTCCAGAGAGATTTTAAACCAGCAGTGCAAGAGAGAGAGGGGAAGGGAGGAAGAAAGAGAGAGAAACACCAATGTGAGAGAAATATTGATCGGTTGCCTCTCGAATGAGCCCCAACAGGGGACCAAACCCTCGACCTAGGAACGTACCCTGACTGGGGATTAAACTGGTGACCCTTCACTTTGCCGGACCAGGCCCAACCAATTGAGCCACACCAGTCAGGGCAGAGAGCCCATTTTTAACTCTTGGGGAACAGATTGATCAGTCTAGATCAGTCAGTAATCCCTTATGCTTGCCAGTAATTGATTTAAGAACCTGAACATTTAAACCAATCAGTGACTTCCGCCAAGATGGAGGTTTAGCTGGATGTGCCGTGCCTCCTCACACAACCAAGTTTAGGGACAACTAAATATTAGCATCAGAAAACACAACCAGAACACGGAAAACTGAACTTTTCGGAAGTCCGCTAACAACAAATTCTTCAGCCCGACCGGTAAGGGGCGAAACCGACGTCGGGTGAGGACTTACAAAGGAGGGCTCAATAGACCCGGGCGCGGAATCCAGACGCGCAATTCCAGTCGCGCGGGTTCCAAACCCAGGATTGGACCTAGTGAGCGACCAGCGGCCCACCGGGTGAGCTACTACAGAGGACACAGTGGGGAGGCGGTGGCAGCGAGTTGACTGTGGTTGCCTGGTTGCACGCGAGTGAGGGAGTGAGCGGTTGGACCGGCGCGGCGCGCCATTTCCCCGCTCTGACCACACCCCCACATACAGCGTCACAACCCAGCGACCAGGGACTCCAAGGCGCCGCTTTTCCCACTTAAAGGGCCAGAACAGACCAAAAATGTCGCAGGCAGAACTCAAAGCCCCAGAGATAAATCTAAATGACAAAGAAATAGCAAAACTCTCAGACGCACAGTTTAAAACACTGGTCATCACCTTCCTCACAGATCTGGTGGATTATAGCCACAAATTAGAGAAACATATGAAGGCTAAATTAAGGGAAATGAATGGAATTCCACAGGAAACCCGTAGAGATGAAAAGGAAACTGGGACTCAAATCAATGAAGTGGACCAGAAGGAAGAAAAAAATGAACAAACAGAAAGGAATGAAGAAATAAGAATTCAGAAAAATGAGGAGAAGCTTAGGAACCTCCAGGACATCTTCAAACGCTCCAATATCCGAATTATAGGGGTACCAGAAGGGGGGAAAGACACAACCACCAGTGGAAAAACTATTTGAACAAATAATAAAAGAAAATTTCCCCAATCTGGCAAAGGAAATAGACTTCCAAGAAATCCAAGAAGCTCAGAGAGTACCAAAAAAGTTGGACTCAAGAAGAAACACACCAAGGCATATCATAATTACATTAGCCAAAATTAAAATGAAGGAAAGAATCCTGGAAGCAGCAAGAGCTAAGGGGACAATCACCTACAAAGGAGTCCCCATCAGACTGTCAGCTGATTTCTCAAAAGAGACCTTACAGGCAAGAAGGGGCTGGAAAGAAATATTCCAAGTCATGAAATCTAAAGACCTACAACCAAGATTGCTCTATCCAGCAAAACTTTCATTTAGAACGGAAGGACAGATAAGGTGCTTCTCAGATAAGACCAAATTCAAGGAGTTCATCATCACCAAGCCCTTATTATATGAAATGTTAAAGGGACTTATCTAAGAAAAAGAAGTTAAAGAAACATGAACAGTGAAAGGACAACAAGCTCACAGTTATTAACAACCACACCTAAAACGAAAGCAAACTAAAAGAACAGCTAGAGCAGGAGTGGAAGCATAGAAATGAAGACCTCATGGAGGGTTAGCAACAGGGGAGTGGGAGGAGGAGAAGGGGGGAGAAGGTACAGAAAACAAGTAGCATAGACAGTAGATAGAAAATAGATGGGGGGGGGCGAGAATAGTATGGGAAATACAGAACCTAAAGGACTTGAGACACATGGACATAAACTAAAGGGGGGTAATGGTGGGGTTGGGGGGGCAGGGTGGAGGGGAATGAAGGGGGGAATAGAACAACTGTAACAGCATAATCAATTCAAAAAAATTAATTAATTTAAAAAAATAAAAATAAAATAAAAGAAAAGAAAAAAAGAGAAAATTCTGTACTTTTATATGACAAAGAATAAAAAGCAAGTGTTAATAACAGCTACTACATTTTTATCAGTGGTCCCTCTGTTGACGGGAGAGACCTGGTTCTTCTTGTTGATGCATGTAAAGAATTACATATCAGCAAATCTAGTAGTGCATAATCAGTTCGTTAGTAGCCCATTCCCATGGAAGAGAACAGGACTGGGTAGAATAGGAGAGTGAAAGGCAAAGTTTCAGGGCAAAGTAGGGTGAAATGTGCAAGAATAGCTGAAGACAAGGGTAGCAAGCCCCTGGGTGGCCTGAGGCGGGGTGGCCAGAGGCCCTGTGGCCCAAGAGTTAAGAGCACCCTGATCCCCCGAGAGAGAGAGAGAGAGAGAGAGAGAGAGAGAGTCCTTTTATACTCAGGACTTTATAGTTAGTGAGATAGGAGGGGGGAAAGTTACATATTGATTAATGGGTAAATGTGGTGCCAGCTTTCCCTGGAAGATGTGACTACCCAAATTTAGGTATGTATGGGGTCTGTTAGCCCAAATCCTTATCTTGCTCCAGACCCCATTTGATCATCTTGTTGTAAAATAAAGACATGACAGGAGGCAGTTAAATAAAAATGGGGCACTTCCCAGAGTTATTTATGGGCTATTCCTGTAAGCATCAGGGACCCACTCATAAAACAGATAGTGACCAGAGGTAGGCAATTAACCAAAGTTTTTTTATAGGCTCTTTCTTCAGGCACTGGGGACCCTTTCCCACTTTCAGGCCTTGGGATGAAAGCACAGTGTCAAGGCTTTCTTTTCCAGATAATGGAAATGCTACATAGAATTTCAAGGACTTCTCTCCTTTCATGCTAGCATAATGTTTCTTGTGATGTTGGAACACCTGGCAATATTATCAGACCAGGCTCAGGACTGCTGAGTTAGCTTGTGAGACTTGTTTCCTTCCTCCTCCCTGCCTCCGTTTACTATTTATTTTACCTAATTGGTAAAAGGCATTTCCTGAAAACCAGGGTGCTAAATGCTGGCCAGTAACAATATTGCAATCTCAGAGTTCTTTCTATGCTGTCTCCTGCCTCACCTCGACACTCATTCTTTTAAAACTTAGAATCTTTTATGAACTGTGTATACAAGCATATTTCTTTTTTATGTTTACAAACACTTTATTTATTTTTAGAGAGAAAGGAAAGGAATGAGAAAGAGAGGGAGAGAAACATCAATATGCAGTTGCCTCTCACATGACCACCTTGGAGACCTGGCCCACAACCTAGGCATGTGCCCTGACTGGGAATTGAACCAGCAACACTTTGGTTCACAGCCTGCCCTCAATCCACTGAGCTACTCCAGCCAGAGCTAAAAGCGTATTTCTAAATCTTCTAAAACACATTAAGAGCAGACTGGAAACCCTCATGATCAAAATTATGTGTAATACTTTTGGGCACAACTACTTTGTAAAAAGTTCTCAAGGCAGACTTTAACAATCTTGCTTATAAACCTCACATTTATTAACTGTGCAGGCCACTTTTAAATCTTATTATATAAATATAACATGAAAAATACTAGATTCACACAATATCTTAAACATTTAAAAAACTTTATTTTTATTTCCATGATTCAGTGCATTATTTACTAAACATAAACATTCCTTTGTCTTTACTGTCCCTGTATGTATGGAAGTCTAATCTGCCTAAAAACTCTATTAATGTGCTTAAAGATTGGAAATTTGTATTGATGTCCTGTGTATTTGATGTTAAATAATAGAATGCACCAGAGGGGATCAAACAGTCATAGACACTCAGTGCCAGAGTTTGTGCTCAGCTCCCCCTGCAGTTTCTGTCACTGTGTCACTCACAGCACAGTAGTACACTGCCGAATCAGACTCCTCCACTGAGGTTTTCTCCAAGTGAAAAGAATTTTGTTGTTTGTGGTGTGTGGCTTCAAAACCTTTGTTGCTTTCCTTAACATCGGCTTTGGTGGCTTTCAGGAGGAGCACTGGACCTTCTCCAGGAGACTGAACATACCAGAAGAGAGTGGGGTAACCTGTGGATTCATGGGAGCAGTTCAGAGTCAGGGGATCCCCTTTGGACAGGGTCACTTGGCCTTCCGTCTGGGTCACTGAGTCTCCACGGGTTCGTCCTGGGGGAAAATAAAAGAAAACTCTGTCACCATGGTCATAAAGCTCTTAAATTAAACCAAAGTTTACAAAGTTGCTGACAGGAGAAAGAATCTATATTTTAAGAGGCATGTTACTTACCAAGCACTAAGAGAACCACGGTCACTAAGCCTGGACACCAGTTCATCTCTACAGTGTTGCCTAAATAATGTTCTTGACACTTACCATGAGGAAATGTTGAAGTCACAGTGAAACTCTAAGTCAAAGCCTACATTTACCAGGAAATGTGTTCGTGTTAACAAGTATCACCCCCTGGTGGACAGGGACTGACAAAGGATGCATATTTCTTAGCTTCCTCCCCAAATGGCAGTGTGTTCTCATCACTGACTTATTTATGAGGCACATGAACCTCTTCAGGTGATGCTTTAAAATCTGAACAATGGCATCCTAAGTTCTCAGGGTTTTTTTCCTTACAACAATACCTGACATCAAAGTACTTTAACAGAGCATGCAAGGTATACCTGTAGTTAGAAGACATTGATTTCCTTGAGCATTTTAATACAGTACATTATATTCTCGTGTACCCCCTGGGGGCCTGCCTATAATCCACTGAATGTCAGAAAATGGTTTGGGGCTAAAATCAGAGGAAGTAATAAGAAATTTAGTTTTTCTGATTGAGTAATTCATAACTTTTTAGCATTGTACACAATATAGAACAGTGACTGACATTTCTTACATGCCTAGTAAATATTTCTTATATTAAACAGTAACAATCATTCTTTCACTGAGGATTCACTACTACATGAAATACAATATTTTCTCAGTCTTCAAATATTATCAATTGTAAGAACTGTTATCTCTTTAATGAAGTTTTCAGGATAAAATAATTATAAATGAAGGTACTAAATCTATAAAGAGTGATCTTAGATCAATATCTTAATCTCCCACTATTTTGTTCCTTCCAAGGTAAGATAGCTAACCAATGTGAGTCAAGCAAGGAATATTAATTCTATAGCCTTAATGTAGATTTAGTATTGAAAATGCTTTCTACTACCATGTACCTGCTACATTCTCTGCCCAAACTTGAACAACATAATCCCCCACACACAGTGGAGAGCCCTGGAAATGTGGAAGTGCATAAAAAGCCTGGAGCATCTGTTAGAACTCTCTTCCTTATCACCTAGCAAATTGTTAAAATATGCCAGCTATCATTCATACAACAGCTGGTGGTAGAGTCAATGCCAGTGAGGGAAAGCTACAGATTCTAGGATCTCAACATTAATTCGTAGAAACATATTTTCCAGGATTGAGACCCACTGATATGAAAATTTTAAAGTTCCCCCAGGTGGTTTTGTTACTGTGAGCCCGATACCCATTTACAAGATATCTTTTGTGGTAACTGGCCTAGACCAAAGTGATTCTAAAAGGTGAGGGAGAAAGTTCTGGGATTTGCATGGGGAAATGTCTCAATGGCAACACAAATTTTTAAAAACTAGTCTTTTTCTATGAAGTGTCAGCAGCAAAAGCAAGCCCTTCTTTGGTTCACTTTTTATGGCCATTCTTTTATAAAAACAAAACCAAAAACCACTGAGAATTATAAGGGTAAAGTTCTAGAGAAGGACACATCTTTCTGTAAACATTTATCAACAGACACAGAGATGGACACTTAGTTCAGGCTGTTTCCTGCAGTTCTCACTACACAGATTCAGATCAAGGGGCTTCCTGAGTCCTTGAGTCAACCTTTGAATAGTCTCCTGGAGGTGGACGTAGGAAATCCAGGTCCAGGTGCTTCACTTCTCTTCCACCTCCCAAGTTACATTCTCAGAATCTGCCACAAAACTATGCTAGAAAGGAATTCTGAAAAAGCAGCTATGGACTTTTATTCTGCTCTACAACGGGAAACAAAATAAGTTGGGGTAAAGTTGGATTGAAAGTAAACCGTGCAGCACATGGGTATACAGAGTTGTTATGTATGTAGCAGGGTGCAGACAAGGCAGGGGGCACAAATGGGGATTTGTAATGGGGTCCAGAACTTGGTGTCCAGGAAATATTAGAAAAAAAATATATATATATACATAGGATGTCCTCACCCCCACAAATCTGAGCTGGGGAAGGGGACACGTGGAGCAGGGCCATTGAGAGTTGTTTCGAATAGCAACAGTTTTGCAGATAACCTCTGCAAAAGGTCCTAAGGTAGAACGGTTGTTTAACCTATCTATAACCTTCAACTGATTTCATAGATATGTGAAACAGCTGTGGCCAGGCTTTGAGCTGGGGAGTTGGGAGTGACTTCAACCCAGGATGTAACTGGGAGGCAACTACCCCTGGTGACAGAACCCATGTAGAGCTTGGAGGTGGTTGGCTCCACACCACAGGGCCATACCTGCCTGGACTTACTATGACAACCCAATAAAACTGGAAGAATAGAGGAATGCTGGAAGCTGTGGCCGATTTTGGGAGGAGTTGGAAATGCTGCAGCAGAGAAAGATTGGTGCTGAGATTTAAACCATTCAGGGACCTAGTATCCTTTGGTTTTGGGACCAAGTGTCATATAGAGAAAAAAGATGATTCATTTATCTATTCACTTGTTGATGTGCATTTTTTGGTACCAGTTGTGGACTGTTACAAGGAAAGCTACTGTGAACATATGTGTATAAGATATTCTTAAAAACGTATGCTCTCTTTTCTCTTTGGTCAATACCTGAGAGTAGAATGGCTGGATTGATGACAGATTTACTACTGGTTTTGTTAAAATTAATTACTTGTACAAGTAGCACTTTTGTACATACCCTTAGGTTTTCTACTAGATAATCATGATGTCTGTGAATGAAGATAGGTTTACGTCTTTCTTTCAGAGCCACATGCTTTTGTTTCTTTCTCTTGCCTTACTGCACTGCCAGAACCTCTGGCACAATTCTAAATACGAGAGGTGAGAGACAAAATTCCTGATCTTGGGGGAAGCATTTAGTCTTTCACCACCAAGCATGACATTAGATGCAGGGTTTTATAGATGCTTATTAAGAAGTTGGAGAAATTGCCTTTGATTCTGAATTTTCTGGGAGTTTATAATGAGGAATGGAGGCTGTATTTCTCAAATACCTTTTCTGTACCTGCTGATGTTACTTTTATTAATTGATCATTTGCTGAATATCACTCTCTTTGAGTATATTATTGATAAATTCTCACAATCAAATATTAAAGAAGACATTATTCTTCTATTTAACACACAATGAAACGAAGCTCACAGGTGCCTCAAAAGCATGTGACAGAGCTAACAGTATTCACCACAGTTCTCTCTGATAGCAGTTCTCTCTCTCTGCTTCTTGGTTTTACCACTGTTGATTATTCTCAGAGAAAATTTGAAAGACTAGAAGGTAGCAAAATTACTTCTTGAGCTTTGAAACATCACAAGACTCCATGTCAGCAGGTTCTTTATTTATGCAAATGGAATTAATAAAAATAAATGATTTCAGGTTTTGCTTTTTCAAAGAAAGGGAGAGGGAAACACGAAGTACACAAGCTACATTTCAGAAGCAGACCACTAGGTAGTGTCTTGGCCATTACTTTTATACTATTAGACATATGACTTGAAGAATGCACTACAGCAAGGGTGACTAACTCTTCCAGACTTCTTCTGTGAGTCACCAGGAAACAAACTTCACACATGGCTGGTGATCACTTTCTTCCTCTGCCCTTAAAACTTACTTGTGATAATGCAGTTTAGACCATAGTTTTCAAATTAATCATTGTAAGTGGTTTTAAAAAAATTTTTAAAGAATTTCCTTATGATGAAGCAATCCTTCTGAGAGCACAGTCCAAAAACTGGAAAGAATTAGAGTTTAGGAGGTCTAGCCAGAACGCATCCAGCCAAGAAATATAAAAAATATAGACATTTATTGAAAAAGATACAAGATACCAGAAACATTGTACATAAGACAATGATACCTCAGTCCTCTTCAAAGTAAGCTACCTTAGGACCTCATAAAGTTCAACTAATTGCCATCAGGTGCCCCATCATAGTTTCCTGAATTTTATCAACGCTCTGAAATCTCTTCCCTTTCAAAGGTGATTTTACCTTTGGTAAAAACCAGAAGTCATATGGCACCAAATCTGAGGTGTAGGGGTCGCTGAATCACTGGGTGATTTGGTGTCTTACCTAAAAACTGAACCAGATGTGAGGCATGAGGTGGCACATGGTTGTGATGAAGCTGCCAATCACCAGTTCCCCAGAGCTGTGGCCTTCTGAACCACCCGAAAAGTTTCCATCGAGAAATATTGCAGATTAATGCAAAATATGATGCAGATTCATTGCTCTCAATAATTTTGAATGCAAAAGACACATAGCACACATGCTCACTCAACAGCATCTACCTCCCCCACTGACTAGTAAAGTCATCATTGTTCATGCATGCTCAATCCAGTCCACTCTCCTTGTTTGCCAGGTTACATCAATGTCACACAAACCATTCTCACTGTATTAACACTGGCTGGTCTTTTTCCAGACAGACCTCATACATCGAAAATATTGTTATATTTGCATACATTTTTATAGGAAAATAAGGAAGCAACATAAATGTCTATCAGCACATCAATGGATAAACAAAATGCAGTACATACATACACTGGAATATTTTTTAAGTTTAAAAGGTAAGAAATTCTGACACAGGATGCCACATGGGTGAACCAGCAGGATACTACACTAGGTGAAAGAAGTTACCATGTGACCAATATTGCTGCATCCCACTTTATGAGGTATATAAAACAGTCAAACTCATAGAATGAGAACTGAAAGGGTATTCGCCAAGGGCTGGAAGGGTGGGGGCATGGGATGTTATTGCTAATGGAGCACAACTTTTCAGTTCTTCAAAGCCAATGGAGTTCTTTTGGTGTAAATGTGCTTCATACCACTCAATTGTACACCTAACATGGTAAAAAATTTATGATAAAATGATAAAAGTATAAAAATATCAAAAAATGTTGAGTCCTTTTCAGATTTTTACTATGCACATCTGCTTGCCCAACTCAATTATACGATGGAGTTTACAATACAAGATCACTTATTAAACATCCATGGTCATTTAAATTTTAAGGCACTGAGAGAATGGGGTTAGAGGTAAGTGGAGGAAATATTAGAAAATGAGGATTTTGGATTGTGGAGCATTGAAACAAAGGGGCATGGAGCTGTGA